GTGAAAGCAAGTTCACTGCAAAAATTTATACACAAGTTTGTTATGCGGTGTCAAATCCAATTTTTCTGCATTTGTGGCGATGGTATTAACGGCTTTTATTATTATATTTATAATTGTTTGTGTTTACAAACTGCATCAATAATGGTAACAGTCGCTACTATTAACTGATCCTTTCAGTGAAATAATATCTTTAGTGTTTTCTCCATGAGTGAGGAATACACTGATTGTACTTTACAGAGTGTACGCGTACACTGATCGTACTTTAGAGAGTATACACGTATACGCGCAGGTACTTTTGTTCGTGTGACAAACGCGAGTGAGCTCCAGGAGATTACGTATTTATAGCAATATGTAATAGTGATGGTAAGGAACGATCGGAAAGTTGTCGGAAAGGTCGTAAGATTTGTTGAATTCGACGACAGCTTTGTAGCCCGATTGAATTTCAAATAACGCGCCTGATAAAGTCGCAATTTCAAATTTATCGCGGCGAGGTGATCAAAAATTCCGAACGCTATCAAAGGAAGCGGAGTTACCCGGTCACGGTGGTGAGTTCTTTGTAAGATCGCTTCATGGAGGGAGCGCGATGTAATACGGTGAATTATGTCGCGCTTTCTGGCCGATTGTTAGTGCGCACTCGACACAACCGGCCCGACGTACTATTTTGTAGGGTGCACATTCGTGAAATGTTAGTTTTGCGAGTATTGCGGCGCGATTGTCTAATAAAAAGTCTACGATACGGGCGACTTCGTGTTATAACTGTGCCAAGTATTCATTGCTCGTTCCGACAATACGTACTTGTCTAATAATGAATATATGCCGACACGCGATGTGATACGACTCGTGTCCGAGCGTTCCACGATATTCATATAATGACGTTATTCAGAAGAGGATTTTTCCACCTTTTTTTCCCGAGGATAACTTCATTAAAATTTTAGATTTCACAGAACGTAGATAGAGGAATTCTGTGCGCGGCTTAAGCGAGCTTCTCCGCGCACATATGTACGTATGGATCCACAGTGTAATGCGTTTTAAATTACGTCGAAAGGTACAGCTCATTAAAATGACCGTCTTATAGGTATTATGATTACTCGTGCACGTAGAGAAAACGAGAATAAATTTGGAGCAAATCGTGTCGAAAGAAAGAGAGAGAGAGAGAGAGAGAGAGAGAGAGAGGGGATGCCAGCGCATGAAATATCGCGCTCAGAAACGATACGAGTCATTAGGATATGATTAATCGCGTCGTAAAACTATTAGCCACTCGACGTAATCGATTTAAGTAAGGGCGACAAGTATTATCTCGAGAAAAGCGACGAGTACCCATCGGTGTCCTCGACAGCGAATGCGACCAACAAAACGACAGGTTGCCTGAAGGAATATCGGGTTAAAATTCCCGCGCGGGCGACAACGATCGAACGGCCGTTCTCGCTCATGCGGCTACACACAGAACGGTTATGCAAATGTTAAAAGAAGTGTGCAATACGTACCTTCCTCAACTGCGAAATTCCAATTAGCGTCGCACGCCCGTGCCAGCTTTAATTAGATCTTCGCAGCCGCAAGACGTTTGCGACGCGTCGTTCTTGCCGATAAACGATCATCGCCGACATATCCACGACGCTAAATCCTGTCGTCGTGCCGTTAAGAAATATAAGTCCGACATGAAAACTTCTTTTCATCGCACAGTGTATTTTTGCTACAATAAATCTACCGTGATACAGATTGCATTGCACACAGACCGTGCTCAAAGATATAATATCGGCGACGCGACGTAACGTACGTAACTTTTTATCGGTAAAGTGTGTGATCAAGTATCGAGTCTATAAGGTTTCCGTTAAACGCGACCTCGTGCTTAAAGTAAACCTTAAAAATTTGCGGACTCGCTCGACTTTGCTTCCGCACGTCTCTGTACGTCTCGTGAGTATGTATGTATGTGTGTGCGCACGTGTTGTGTGTGTATGTGTGTGTGTGTGCGTATATATGTGTGTATAAGTGTTTCCTCGCTCGTTTATTTAATTTTACGCGACGAACCGCTGAGATTTCACTACGGCTGTCAGAAGTGTCCGTTCGAAGGATCAAAACGGCGTCGTCACGCATTATCACACGTTCTCTGATTCCCACCCTCGAGCCTCCCTCGCGACATCCTTACTGTGCGTGAGGAAAGGGCGAGACGTATTCAGAAGACGCTCCGAAACACGCTCTCGCGGCGTGTCGCGTCTGAACAACGATGAACGCATATGATTACAAACGAAGACGGAGAAAGAAGAGTTTGATTCCCGACAAAATATCGTTTTATCCTACGTTTTTCCTTATGTTTGTATCTTTCGCGCGCGCGTCTTACTCTTAAATTAGGATATACAGAAAGAACCGTCGAACCTTAATCGCTACGTATCAGATGTGTACAGTGTTTTGGGCGAGAGAAAACGATGCTACGTGGTTGGTTGATGGGCCCTGAAAGGTAACGTCGGGGGCCCTGTGTACGTGGATCCGACACGTGTCCGCCGCCGCTCGGTGGACTACGTCAGAGGCCTGTCCAACTAGCGGGCACTGCTCGTACGCACAATCATACGATACGTTATTTTCATAGCGATCAGTACTCTCGGGCGAAGATCAGCTCGACTCGCGACATCGTTCACCTACAGGGTCTTGTAGAAAAATGCACGTAGACGGAACGGCGGAGGATTAATAACTTCTGTGGAAAATAATCTGTGGAAAAGATACAAAGAGGCAAGGAGGAAGAGGGAGAGAAAAAGAGAGAAGAGAGTTTAGAGAGAAAAAGAGGGAGAGCGAGAGAGAGAGAGAGAGAGAGAGAGAGAGAGAGAGAGAGAGAGAGAGAGAGAGAGAGAGA